AACCTGCTGTATAGGTATCTAATGCTTTTTTATTGAATGTGGTGGTCTTATATTTTTTTAATTCAGAATTACTTTCATTAATTCCAATGTGCTCTAATAGGTGTTGCAGTTTGATTCTTATACGTTCAAAATAATCCTGATATGATTCATTTGAGTACTGATAACAGGTTATTAAATCGTTTTCTAATAAAGTTTCATTACGACTATCGCCAAAGCGATTAACTAATGTTGACTTAACTTGTGCCCATGTAATGCAATTAGAGATAATAAATGCGTCCCTAGCAGCACCTACTAATCTTGAGCAAACAATTTCAAATAAAAGTTTATTAATTGTGGAATTTTCTTGGCCTGGTTCCGCGTTTTTGTATAGATTAAAAAATTTCTCTGCTTGTTGTAGGTAGTATGATAGATTTTTACTACCTCCTTCATATTGAGGAACAATTTCTTTGGCAATATTTAGTTCTGTATAATTCATTTTGTTAGGCTTATTGCAATTTTGTTTAAGAGGGGATCGAGATCTATCTCGAGTCATTCAAAAAATCAATGCACGTATAAAAATAGGAAAATGAAAAAAATAGGAAACTTACAGTACTAATAGTAGGAGAGCTAGTGAACCCTCCGACTAACGGTCTTCCTGTAAGGCTAGAAATTTGTGGAGTGATGAGTTATAGTACACGAAGGCCAACAACAATGACCTGGCAGGCATCAGCCCTGCACGCCATCAGCCCTTTTATTTTTTAAATGTAAAATAAATAAGACAAAAAAACTTACTTCTGTAAGCTTCAAATTTTATATTATTTAGTTTATTTATTGATAATTATGGAAAAAAATTGACAGGCGATTTAAGAAAGCAAAAGTATCTACCAGGTAAATCGAAAGGTGCATAATTTAGGGGATAAAATAAACTTTCTCCTGTAAAGTTGAAATTTAAGTAAGTATTTGAGTAAGCCATAGAAAAGAAATGTGTATACTGACAGGCGGTTTTGAACAGCATAAGACCTTGACAGGCGAGGGGAAAGATGCTAAGAGCGTGCGAGCAAGAGGCGTACACGTGAATGCATATAGTGCGAGTGAGACCGTTTGTCTAATGAGAAGGGTCGTTTTCTTTACCTACTTTTCTATACCTGCTTTCGGTCAAAAATTTTTAAGTCAGTTGTGGCGTGGCAACAATTTTATGTGTGCAGACGCATTACCTATATTGCAGTGCTACGAATTACTACGCTTTATATTTTTAGTTAATTTGGGAGTTTGAGATTCCAGTTATATATTATTATTTATTGTGTAGTTATTTTTATATTAACAATTCAGTTAATAGTGTGCAGGATGGAATCTAAACACGTGGTTTGTGTAATTTGTAACCAAGAAAGTGGTGAAAAAACTGTACAGTTCACATCAACTACATTAGAGAAAAGCAAATCAATATTAAAAATAAGAAAAGACAATAATTTAAAATTCAATTCTTTGCCAGAGGAAGTTAATGCAGATACTGGTTACCATGTTAAATGTTACAAAAACTTTCTTGCCGTGATGAAAAAATATCGCACGAGTGAATTACCATCTTCTTCAAATTTGCCAGCATCAGCAACAATATATATATTTTAATATTATTTTTCAATAATTAATTCATTACTATTATTAACAAGCAGTAACGGGTGGAAGTTATTTATATGAGTGAAATTTTATTTTATTTCTTAAAAATGAATATTTTCATAATTTTTTTTTCAGAAACGGCGAAAAACATTGATACAATTGCAATCGCCCCTCCAATAGTTACTGAAGAAAGCGGAGAATCAACATCTGGTGAAGTATCCGTTACTAAAAGTAACGATGATGATAAATCATGTGTTTTTTGTGATAGTAAATATAAACGAGTAAAAGGGAGATTTCAACCTCTTCACTCTTCAGAAAAAGAAGGTTTAATGCAAATTCTGAAGAAATTTGGCGAAGATAATGAATATTATGAAAAACTTTCTAAAGTCTCTACCCCATTGATTTTGTATCATAATAGTTGCCGAACGGTTGCCATTTATACATTGCAAGAAAAAGTGAAGACAAAATCACCACAAAACAAGACTTTAAAAGATTTTCACAAACTGGCGTTTCATGAAATAAAAAATTTCATCAATGAAGAAGTAATAAAAAATAAAAAATCATTTTCATTTACCTATTTATGTAAATATTACTCCGAGTTATTACAGACAATACTGAAAGAAAATGATGAAACTGTAGATTCGATTTTAGTGTCCAGCATTTTGGAACTAAATTGATGCAGACTTGAAATTGTTAAAATCGACAGAAAAAAGTATGTGAAATCAAAAAATTCTGTTTTTGATACACAACTATTGAAACTATCAGAAAATGTGGAGATATTACAAAAAGCAGCATCAATTTTACGCAGAAATATTTTAGACATAAAGAAAAAACCATTACCAAAAGACATAACAACTGCTGACTTATTAAATGGTGAATGTGAAATACCTCAAAATTTACTCGATTTTTATGGTTTTCCCTTGGGTGGGCATAAACGTCGTCGTCGAATTAGTGACAGTTTTAAGAGGAAAATAAATTCTATGGCAGAAGATCTGATTTATAATGTCACTAATGGGTTTATTAAAACCAAAAAGCACATCACTCTGGGCATGACATTGAAAAGTTTAACGAGCAGCAGAAAAATAGTGGAGATTATTAATAAATTTGGTCATTGTTGCAGTTATCACGTCATCGAAGAAATTAGAAACCGCAGCAACAACAACGATGGTGAATCGATCAGAAGTTTGTCCGAACGAAATTTGTAAAGGACGAGATTTATTCACAGGAATAGCATTTGATAACTTCGATAGATATGTTGATACTGCTACTGGTAAAGATACCTTACACGATACCGTAGGGATCATTTTCCAAACGTTTTGGAAAATGAGGAAGCAACAGAGGGAACTTCTGATCAACTTCAAATTCGTTCGGAAGATGGTGAATCCACAGACGAGCTGGCTGCTTCAAGTGTTCATTATCATGCAAGTTATAAAAGAAAGAGAAGTTTAGAAGCCATAATCCCAGAGCTAGTACCATATTCAAAAAAACCAAGAATGAATGATGAATTATTGTCTCTATCCGACGATTTAAGGAATGAACCAGTACCAGCTTCGCTCAAAATAATTTATCAGCAAAATTTTTTGTGGATGCTTTGTCATGCTCTGAAAATTCAGGGTTTCATCATAACTTAAACGAAGATTCCCATAATAAAAAAGAAATAATTTGTTATCTAACACCAATTAATGAATCACCGACAAGTGTACCAGTTGTCATAGAAAATATGAAACGAAGTCAAAATATCGCTGCAGAAATTGGACAACCTTGCATAAATGTTACATATGACCTAGCTATTGCAAGAATTGCTATGCAGGTGCAGGCTACAGAAAAACCAACGTATGATAATATTTATTCATCCATTTAGGACCGTTCCATATCATGTTAGCATTATTTAAAGCAATTGGAAAATTTATTGACGACTGTGGAATAATGAATATAGCTGTTGAAAGTGAGATTATCGCAAATGGTTCAGTAGATGGATTTTTGAAAGCAAAACATTTCAATCGATGTAAGCGACTGCATCCCTTAATGGCACTAGGACTAGAAATATTATGTTTTCAATCTTTTCTTGAAAAAGAAAATATAGTTCTGGATGAAAATGTTCACAATAACCTCTCTACATTCATCGATGGTAATGAATCGTTTGTAAATATAATAGAAAATGAAGCAATATCAACATTGATGACTCGATACCAACTTTTCAAAGAAGAATGTAGAAAAGGAACTTTGGGGAAAACTCCTCAATTTTATGTTACTTATATGGATCTTGTTCATTACTATCAGTTACTGAGTCAAAGCATAAGGACTGGAAACTTTTCTTTGTACAAATATATTTTGTCAAAAATAGCAAGTGTATTTTTTGTTACAAATCAACCCAATTATTCGCGATGGTTAGTAAAATATCACGATACCATGTTGAAAGTGGGACTTACACCCGTCAATTGAAAAATTCATGAAAGAAGGATACCTCGGAATCAAACGAACTGATAAATCTTTCTCTAGACAGCCAGTACATTTAGTCCTTGAACAAACCATTAATGCGGACGCAGGCAGAAGATTAACCGGTGTGATTCAGTTTACAAATTCAATTTCTGCTCGTCAGAGATGGGCTAGAAGTCACAGTATAAGAACAACAATTATATCCCACACAATGGACATTACAGGTTTACGAAGGAAAAATGATGTATCAGCGGGCCTAGAAGAATATGCAATAAAAAGAGATTCTGCACAATTGTGGAAGTTCATAAATACTTTCGAAAGATTTTCGAATCCATTTAATTTGAATCTAGACAAAGAATGTTTGTATAATATTGGCAATGGCACAGTAGCTTCGATCGCAGTACAAGATTACTTGTTAAATTTTATAGAATCAGGCGAAAATTTGAAAGAAAAATTTATTACCGAATGTTCACTGAATGGAAAAAGATTTGAAGACGCAATTAAACAGGTGAAAATTATGAATTTTGCCTCTGAAAAAAAGAAGAAGAAAATCAAAGCAGGCGGTAAAGTTCATGAAATCCGCGTCCAACGTGATTTATTTGGCCGTCTGTTAGCACTGTCAATGAAATGTGAGATCGATTTAGAAAAAACATTATCATACCCCATTACAGTTGTTCCAATGTCACTGTGTCATGAAGATGGAACAATACATAAAACTCAAAAATCAGTAATGGTTGATGTTTTGAAGGCAAATGTTAGCAGTGACGAAGTACCAGCACGTTTTGATGTTATTTTCGATGGATTCTTTTTGCTGCATACATTTAAAAATATTCCCAAAACGTTCGGTGGTATTTCAAAAAAAATTATGTCGATATTAACAGCTACACATGCTTCACGAGTTGATATTATTTTCGACCAATACTTTTCGCCGTCCATTAAAGATTATGAACGAGCCCAACGCCATGAAGTGCGGAATAAAAATTATTTAATTACTGGTCCAGAACAAGTTAGACCTGTTGATTTCATTAAAGAACTTCACAACATCCAATTCAAAGAAGCTTTTGTGGATTTTTTAATTACACACTGGAGCTCTAATGAAATGACAGCATTCATCGGGAATACCATAATAAATTTAAATTACACAAAGAATGCCATACTTATAGTGTTCACAACAACTCTGTTATCATCAATGTCAATGATAACTTATCATGCCAACATCATGAGGAAGCTGATACAAAAATAATATACCACATATGCCAAATGGATGAAGATGTATCCGACGTGTTAATAAAAACGTGCGACACAGACATTTTAATATTAATGCTCGGCAACGTGGACCATCTCCGCAATAAAAATTTAAAAATCTACATAGAATATGGCACCAACAATTTCAAAAAATGAATAAATATTTCTGAACTGTATGAAAAATTAGGACCCTCGATATGCCAAAGATTACCAGGATTTCATGCATTAACCGGTTGTGATTTTAACCCATCGTTTTTAGGAAGAGGAAAAAAAATACCTTTTAAAATATTAGAAAAATCTCATCAGTACCAAAAGGCATTTGCAGAGTTAGGAAGTGCAGAAATAGTAGAGAAGAAAGAAGAGATTTTTTCAATACTTGAGAAATTTGTGTGCCAAATGTACGGATCAAAATGTCAAAGATTGAATGACGCACGTTATGAGAAGTTTCTTGCCACTTATGAGACGAAAAACGACAACATATTTATGAAAAAAATTATAAGTTATGATTCATCAAATCTACCTCCGTGCCAACGCGAACTGCAACAACAATTATTAAGAGCTGCATATATTGCAAATATCTGGCGGAATAGTCATTTAAAGGAACCAACATTTCTTACCCCTGAAAATAATGGTTGGAACTTAATCGATGATCACTACGATTTCAATTGGTTTGAGGGAGATACGGTTCCTGCTTCTATATACGACATACTTTTACAAGACTCTACTAATACTGATACTGCCGAAGCCCAGTCAAATGAAACTGAAGATTACATTTCAGGTGACACAATTATTTGATTTAATAAGATTCAATATACAGTCCTACGTAATTGAGCGCAATATTCAATTCTCAATGACATTATTAATTAATTAAAATATTTTTTTTCTTTTTAGAGGAGGAAAACGATATCGAAGAGTCGGATTATGATGAAAGAAGTAGTGGTGAAGAAGTGTGGGATGATGATGATAATTAATGTAAAAAATAATGTAGATTACACAACAATTAATAAAAAATATTGCATCTATAATTTTTAAGTTTATTTAATGTTATCACACTATATGTATTCACGTTACGCCTCTTACTCGCACGCTAATCTTTCCCCTCGCCTGTCAAGGTCTTACGCTGTTCAAAACCGCCTGTCAGTATACACATTTCTTTTCAATGGCTTACTCAAATACATACTTAAATTTCAACTTTACAGGAGAAAGTTTATTTTATCCCCTAAACTATAAACCTTTCGATTTACCTGGTAGATACTTTTGCTTGCTTAAATCGCCTGTCAATTTTTTTCCATAATTATCAATAAATAAACTAAATAATATAAAATTTGAAGCTTACAGAAGTAAGTTTTTTTGTCTTATTTATTTTACATTTAAAAAATAAAAGGGCTGATGGCGTGCAGGGCTGATGCCTGCCAGGTCATTGTTGTTGGCCTTCGTGTACTATAACTCATCACTACACAAATTTCTAGCCTTACAGGAAGACCGTTAGTCGGAGGGTTCACTAGCTCTTGGACTATAATGTTAAAAGCATTGCTCGATGCCTAACGGGTTGTTCAGTGGATGAAGACTGCAACTTGTTCTGATGTTGAATGGTAGGTGAAGTCCGTCAGGATTGAAGTACTTCTTCGTTACACCAAGTTGAACTTCGATGCAGGAACTTCCGAACTGGTAGCTTTGTAGGTATATAGCCAATGAAGTATTAAGATACACCGTTATAACGTTTTAGTCCAGGCGCTAATATGGGTACTGAGCATGCACTGGAAGTCTAACGCAGTTTGACTTTTGATTATTGTTGGGGTCATATAGTAGATGAAAAATATCGATGTCGTCGCATTTCCGCGATGGGCATAACATGAGGGGGAGGGGGCAAAGTCGCGCGCGTGGCGATTCACTTGATCGCTTCTAACTCAAAGACAGTTATTGTTGTTATTATAATATTGCCTACAAAAAATGTCCTAAGGATAAAAGTTGTACTTCTAACCGTTTCGTTAGAAATAAATTATTTCGGAATATATCCAAATCCACTTAAAATCATATTTGCCACATATTTCTTGTATCTGTAAGACAATTTTATATGTTGTAAGAGTAATTATAAAAGTACATAAGTATTGTAATCATATTTTAATTGGCATAATGTAAGAATTAAATTTAAATCTTCAAAAGATTGACCGATCATTAAATATGTTTAAGTAATAGAGTCAAACGTTATTCCGCAGAAATTACTTCTCACATAATGGCATCAGTTTTGGTAATGTTCCCTCGAATTAGTTCCAACATTAAATGTCTGCATATCCATCGGGAAGTAATTTTGGTAATCTTCAGAGTGATGAATAATGATTCATCAATTTTTGATGTATCTACACCTGGCGTATTCCGAACAATTTATGAACGTAAAGGGTAAAAATGGTACTCATGCAATGCTCGTCAGCATTGATGTTATGCAAATCTCGAAGCAGTTCAGCCCTGCAAATGCAAAAACTGCTCCAAAAAACATATAGCTGTTTATCAAATAATTCTTCTTATTGTTCTTATTGCAAATGTATTGATAAATGCAGAAACCCATTACAAACTAAAGAGTCTGACGAAGAGAACGAAGGCGAAAAAGATTTGTGACTGGGTGCCCAAGTACGTGCTGGAAAATTGTAAAATTGACTATATAAAACTATATATATATTTATGTAGTAACATACATTATTAAATTTATCTTACACATATAAAAAATGTGCATCAAATATGATTTTCCATCGAATTTTAAAATAATTTAGTAGGGAAAGAATGGGGGTGTGCAGATCCTCTTTGACCTTGGGTTCCGCGCATATGGGCTCTATATGGATGGGGATGCGCAGATCCTGATCAGAATCCTATGGGGACTCAATGAATCCTCTGACCTACTTTTAAAATGCGAGTGGGGTCTCAGAGAATCCTCGATGACCTAGTTACAACCCATTGGGGTCTCAAATGATCCTTCCTTAACGTACGGGGATTCATTTGAGCCGTCCTTGATCTTATCTTAATTGATGGGGTCACAAATGAGCCGTGTTTGCTTAGTTAGGTAAACGGATCCTCTGTGACTTACGGGTGTCCATTTAGGCCGTCCGTGATCTCGTCTTTAGTCGTAAACTCGTAACGCAAAAAAGAAACATTTTACGTAACTAATTATCAAGACGCAAAGAGCCTGAAAGATCTCATAAATTAATTGTATTTCGAACAAGGAAAAGTTCATAAATTTAATTCTTAGTAATCTCATTTAAGTGTGTAATAAATTATGAAGACTCAAAGAAGTCGTGTTTCAGTATATTCAAAATACCCAATTTCCTGAACAGCGCTCGGGTATTCCACTTTAAAATGAAGTTGAAAAAACATCAACGTTCATGAGTGTGCTACCCTGTTAAACAAAAATTTAGCAAAATTTCGCCGGAGTAAATTACAGTGCATTCGTTTAACTGGTCCTTAATTTTTTGAAATCTATTCAGTATTAACTGGCCAGGAACATTTTCTGTAGACCGTGCTTGTCATTAAATGACAGTTTGCCCGAGCGCTGTTATAATAATTTGGGTTTGATGTAGTTAAATTATCGCAGGGAATCTGAGGTAATTTATGTAGTTTAGTAAGTTTAATGCGTTTTACATACAGGAAAAAATTAAAGTGTTACCAATTAATGGAACATAACGCGTAAAACTTAATGCATTTACAATTTATTACATGCCCAAATATGTCTTCCTCTATAAAGTGATAATAATTTAATTTAAAGTAAACAAGTGCTTAATGGATGCCTATAATTAATAGGGAAAAAAAACCTGGATCTAAATATAATAAATAAGCAAAAATGAATCGTGGTCTATAAACTTCGAATCACATTAAGCAATAAACGTAATCAAGCCAATCCGTTTTACGTAAAGCAAAATCACCCATAATTAGGTGTTGTGATAAATACAAATTCGCGGATACGTATTTAAGTGGAAGTAGCATTTCATTTCATCTATCGATCACAGCAAAAGTGGTCTACATATTTTATAGGGAATTTTATACAATTAATTGTAATGTAATCCGAAACGCGAAAAAAACCATCGTAAAACTGTCGTTCATTCCTTATACAGTTCAATAAGGGTCTGAAATAGCGTAATACATTTGTTTCGGATTTTTAGGAATCATAAAATTTTAGTTAAGTGGACACTTATGGGTAAAGATAAAATACAAATATCAAGTGCCGTTTAACTTTTTTTTTAGGTTATTTAGATAGTAAAGTAGGTATTTTTTAATCAATGCGTATGTGTATTTAATCTTAATGGAATAAATCGCGTATGATTATTTTGATGTCATAGTTCGACTGTATTAAGTTAATGGATGTCTAATTTATTACTGCACTAAATTACTACGAATATTTTAATTACACATGATTTAACACGTCTTAATGATGGACGGTGTATGAGTAACAGACTTGAAATACGCGTAAAAGTTAATGGATTTACAATTTATTATTGTAATAAATCTCGTTTGAGTGTGAGTTTGATTATAAAAATAATAATCGAATTTTGGATGTCTCTAAGTTAAATTAGAATGAAACAGCTTTCTCATAAAACGTAAAAAATGGACAGAAACATTCACTTCACTCGTATTTAGTCATTGTTTCGTGTTCGCGTTAAGGGTTGCAGGCGCTTGGCAGCCATACACACACTTAGCTATTTTTGAATGGGATTCATTTATTTTCCTTTATTACTTTACGTAAAGGCCGTCTGACACTATGCTAAATTTTGTAGAAAATTTTGCAGATAAATTTTCATACAAAATATTGCATAGTGTCATACGTATTTTGTACAAAAATTTGTTACATAATTTGTTTGTATAAAATTTTTTAGAACGCGTTCTAAAAACTACCTAAAATTTGTACAAAAAGTGCGCATAGTTTTACGGCGCATCCTATGCACGTGTGTGGTACATAACCTGAACCATAAACATAAACATTATTACCTTTAAACGTGTAGTGGTGTAAACACTCGTTTGCTGTTGAACTTTGTAAATTTATTAATAAAATGTCCTGGTCGCGGGAACAATGTGAAATTTTGATACAGGAGAATCAAAAACATCCCTGTCTCTATGCTACAAAATCAGTGTTGTACAAAAACAGGCATGCACGACAGCATGCTTTAGAAAAAATAGAGGCTGTGCTGAAGGAAGTAAGGCCGTCCGTAACGATTAACGAAATAAAAACCAAATTTGGTGGTTTGAAAACGAACTTCCTAAACGAATACAAGAAATGGAATGTATCCAGGCGCAGCGGAGCTGGTGACAACGATGATGACGATTCTGTAAGCTGATACCATCAAACTTCTGTACAGTAGTAATAACTAAAACTTTTATTTACAGTTATATAAACCAACAATATGGTATTTTAAAGTCATGTTTTTCCTTCTTGAGCACTGCAAAGTGCGATTGGCAGTCGATTCCCTAACGGAGGACGTAGAGACAGAGCAGGAAGACACAGAGCGTGATTCGCAATCATCAGAAGTGCAGGAATATGTCGTAGGAGAAGACGGCGTGCTCCACGATGCAGGTGATGAAAATGTACAGTCACCAGACATGTCATTTCAAGTTGCTTCGCCTTCCTCTTCCAATGGATTTTACCAGCCAAAACCAAAGAAGAGGAAACTGCGGCAAGAGCCAGTGGAAGAAAATCTCATACGGGAAGCGTCAAATACACTTGCATCTATTAATCAGGCAATGAAGACGAATCAAGGCAAAAATGAAGAAGACGAAGCGTTAGCAAAATTTATTGTTTGCAAATTAAATCAAATTACGAACGAAGACATACGTCTCGAAGTGGAACAGGAAATTGTTGAATGCCTGTATCGCAGTATAAAAAAAAGTAGAATGTAAATAATAGGCCAGGGTAAGAATATAAAATACATTGTATACATATTAAAATTATTTATTGCCTCTTCCTGCCAATCTACAGACCCTTCTAAAGAATTGAAAAAAGTTTTAAATCGATCACGAATTTCTCTCGCATTATTCGACGTTCGATTACCACACTGTCGTGTTACTTTTTGCAGGTCTTTGATGTCCTCGTCAATCTCTATATAGGATTGTGAGTTTTCAGTGGCAAGAAAATTATGTAATAAGACACAAGTCAATGTAATTAATTCTACTTTTTCTGGAATTAAATTAATTGGATTTAAAAGTACCCTAAATCTATTCACTAAAATGCCAAATGCATTTTCAATTATGCGTCTTGCACGTGATAGACGATAATTAAATATCCTGCATTCTTTGGTAAGTCCTCGTTCAGGATAGGGCTTCATTAGGTTTGTTGCTAATGGAAATGCATCATCGGCGACAATGACATAGGGCATTGGATGTTCCATTCCTGGCAGCAGTTTGGGCTGTGGCAAATTAAGTGTGTTGTCTTGCAGTGCCTTTGACAACTTACTGTTGTTAAACACCCCGCCATCGCTAATGCGTCCGTTAACACCAATATTTATGTAAATAAATTTATAATTTGCATCTGCCAAACCCAGCAGCACAATACTATTAGAACCTTTATAGTTGTAATAGTACGATCCTGCCGAGATTGGGGCTCTGAATGTTATATGGCGTCCATCGAGTGCTCCAATGCAGTGTGGAAACTGCCATAAATTATTAAAATCATCCGCAATTTTATTCCACTCTTCTGGCGTGTTTGGTGTCTGTAAGAGTTTAAATTGTTTCAATAAATTTTATAAACATACTGACAAAACGACAACTTACCTTCAAATAATTTGGTTTCAATTTTAATACGATTGCGTTGCACACCTCGGGTATGAAACGACTAATTGTAGTTTCGTGAATCCTTGTTGCGTACATAAGGGATCGAAACGTCTCTCCGGTTGCCAAAAATCTTAGAGTAACTTGTAATCTGAAGTTAAGAACTGTACATGCTATATGCCCTAAAATGTAAGGCTTCTTTGATACTTACTTGCTTCTAGCGGGGATACACTCTCGTAAGTGGGTATCTTGTTTGGTTATGTCATCTTTCACTAATGCTAGCAAATATCCCAGCTGTTTATTGTTTAAGCGAAGGTAATTTTGGTAAGATACGGGGTCCTCCTGCAGAAGCTCTTGGTTTAACATATTTAAAACGCCTCTACCCTCATTTCGCCGTTGTAACCACGTTCTCGACCACAATCTTCGTCGATTGCGTTTTTGTTTTAAGCGTAACAGCATTTTTCGCAAAAGAATAATTGCCGTGGCGGCAAGCGCCGCGTGCATTAATGATATGTTTGTATTAGGCATAGCTAAAGTCAGTGATATGAAATGTAATCGATTCGACTAAATAAGTACATATAATAACAAAGCGTATAGGTTATGTCGCACCAACAGCTGCTTTTAGTGAAAACCAATGAGGTAACAACCAAAATCAAAATTCCCCATGTTGTAACTGAGACTGAGCAAGCGTGAATAATTTTATTTTACCATAATTTTTAAATAGTGTCAGACACATTTCATTTTTTTTTCTAAATTTTGTACAACATTTTTTACAAAATTTTCTAGTGCAAAATTTTATACAAAATTTAGCATAGTGTCAGACGGCCTTAACTGAATAAATTTACTAAATAAAAAATTATAAGCCTAGATCGAAGAGTTTTCGAATGATGTGAGTTTTTTTTCCCATAATTTGGTGAATCTTTTACAAAGTAAATCCTGTTATAAGACAAAACGATATACTTAACCAATTGTTATTAACGTTTTATAGATGACTACTGAATGGATGTAAGGTTTGTTATCTTTTATTCTAAAACGAAATGCTTGGTAAAGGGTTTATTTTTCAAAGGTAATAAAATGTAATAGAAATCGGAAAGTTTTTATTTAAAAGTGTTTATGAAAAAAAATTCCAATGTGTTATTTGATTCACGCATGGTGAATGTGACCGGCCCAAATGATGTTATGATAGGCGGGCCGGTGGGTGGAACCGTTGTCACAAATAGGGGTGTTCTTTCAAAATTGTTCACGATGACCGTCTTGGGGGTATCTACGGGCCGGTCTATCCATAATTCGAAAGGAACCACGTCCCAAATTTCGATTTCTGATAGGAAAATAAGTAATTACTTTGATGCCTAAAAGATTTAAGTTCTACTTACCGTGAGTTTCCATATTAACTAGATATTTGTTAACGAAATGTTATGAATCTTTTTTAATTGAAGAAGTTGTATTTATACCAAAGAACCTTATATATGCGAATATCGATGGAATGGGGAAATCCAAACCTTTTTGGAGAGGTGTATTCGTTAGGAGGAGCACGAATCCCAAGAAAAAAAATTTTAATGGGCAGTCGATATCTTCAAATAGTTTGAGATATTGGTAGATAATTTGTAGAGAGGAAATGCTCAATCATGCTCCTTGATCAATTAGTTTAAACCCCACACATATATAGTGCAAAAATATCGAGCAGCTGCAGTAAGCATGAGTGCTTCGCCCCGTATTAAAATATTGCAGAACATTGTAGTCGTGCCCGCGAAAGAAGCTGATGTGCAAGAAAACGAGTTAATAGAAGATATTTTTAAAGATTTAATTTGTCCAGATTTCGATTATTCGCTTCTTGAAGAAATCTTCGGTGACATTGAATGCCTTAACCGTCAACTTATAGACGCCGAAAAACAACTTTCTCGATTTTTTAAGATTTTATCTATTAAACGGGAAAACAATTTTTGCGATCTCCAGTGGTGCCATTGCCAAGTGGAGCACCTTATTGAAAGGAGGGCAAAGTTATTAGCGGACATCCAACAGTTATCCGTAGGGTAAGTAATTGAGTGGAGTTACTTTTTTTTTGTCATTTACTGTTATCTAGGAGCTTCCAGTAAAAATATTGAAGAGTTCAGATTTTGGGGGATCATTAAGCCGGTGTGCCAACTGCTTATTTAAAAAAGGAGATCAAGCTCGTTTATAAGGTGAGAAAGTTGCGAAATTATTTCATTTGTGACTCAATTTTATAGGAATCAAAAATGTTTATGTGTGAAAAATGTAATAAATCATTCGCTACTAATAGCAATCTTCGACGCCATCTCAAAAAGTCATGTAGAGGTAAGGAATTTTTATTACTCTTGCAAAAAAAAAGTGTTTAAATCGTAGCTCAAGAACCATCTCCAAAGAAGCTCAAAGTTGCACACGATACCCAGAGATTTTGCGATGTGTGTTCGGAGCACGTTTCAAGCCGAGATTATGTTGGACATTTGCGAAGTGTCAAACATAAAAATAATTCCCTTGCGTTTTCAACTGAAGGTGTTCAAGTAATTACGTCAGCCTTCAAATCTCGCATTGTAAGCTACAGAATATCAGCGAATACACAATACATTAATCTGAAGGAATTTGTCGAATCGTTGGCTGACGTAATAAAAAAATTAGTTCGTGAGCAAATTGATATCATGGGTAGCGTTAAGGTGAACTGCGAGCTGTTTGGTTATTTTATTTTGGAATCGAAGGATCGAGGAGAAGTTAAGTCTTTTAATACTCGTAACCAAGTATTGACGATAAGTTCCGACTTAAGTGAATGGTTTAAGGATATCATCGAAAAACTGGAAGTTGACGCAACGGAATTTGAACATCGCGAGTCAGGTATAATATCCAATTGTTTATGCCATGTTTACATAATTATTTGTTCTAGGATGGGCTCTTCAGCACTGGTTATATATGGAAGTCAAAGAAAAATTAATCTTGCCACAAATTGTGGGATTTGTGAGAAACCTTTTGTTGAGGGAGATGTAAAAGTGATCGACCACGACCATCAGACTTCTTTCGTCAGGGCCGGATTATGTCATTCTATATGTAATTTACAGCTTCAAACCCCAAATTTTATCCCTGTATTTTTCCACAATTTGACCGGGTACGACAGCCATCTTTTCGTTAAATCCCTGGCTTTAGAGAATGAAAATATAGACGTTATTGCCGGAAATAAGGAAAAATACATTTCTTTTTCGAAGCATATTGTAGTAGATCAAATCGTGGAGAACGGAGTTCCAAAAAACCTAATATGGAGAATACGTTTCGTCGATAGTTTTCGTTTTCTGGCCAGTTCATTAAATGTTCTTGCTAAAAATTTGAGTGATAGCGAGTGCACTGAAATTACAAAATTTTTTGGATCTGGACGTGAATTTGAATTAATTCGACAAAAAGGTGTTTTTCCGTATTCGTTTGTAGACTCATACGATAAGCTTAATCTAACTACGATCCCCAATAAAAGCGATTTCTTTGATATGTTGCACGAGCAGGACATTACCGATGAAGAATACAGACGTGCTCAGGAAGTTTGGAATTTATTTAATTGCCAGACGTTGGGCGAATACTCGGACATTTATTTAAAATCTGACGTGCTTTTATTTGCCGATATATTTGAAAACTACAGAGGCGTGTGTTTACGCGAGTACGAAATTGACGCTGCCCAATATCTGACCGGTCCTAGCCTTAGCTGGGACGCTATGTTAAAAAAGACGGATGTGGAATTAGATGTAACGGTTTTAATTCTTCTCACCGTTCATTTTCTCTATGCTACGGATTCTTACAGGCCGATATTAGGTTACGCCACTGGCATATTGCAAATTGGGAATATTTTCTATGTTTTTGCGCATGTGCGTTACTCCACCGACACGTATTAAGCGGTGAATATTTCATTCATTGGTGCTTGCTTTAAAAACGAACAGGTGTGATGGCGTCTTGAAAATTTTCATGGGCATAATATAGTTACATATCGCCGAATTGCGGATTTTCGAGTCCATGAATAATCGATGTTTTGGAGATTGGTTTGTTAGACCATTTTATCCATTTACCGTTACGGGATCTGAATACATTTGCTTGACGTAAGTAACATCTGCGTATCATTTCTATTGTCACAGCCACGCTGTTCTTTTAGATAACGCACCTGTTCTTCGCATCACCTAAGCCAGAGCTTTGATTGCCGATAACCTCGAGGCATCTCGTTAATTAACGAGTTTTAAAAAGCCCTCTTTTTAATTAAGAGGTATGCTTAAATCTTGGCCAAAAACCAGTATTAATTCCGACATTGTTTTAGGGTTTTACTTTTCCTGTTTTTTTTGTATCGCACGTAATTATCTCATGTCAAACTTGTGGTCACGCATGGTTGGTTTCCCACTGCTGGACCTTATTGTCATCCGATTGTCCACCTAGAGGCCGATTGTAGCGGTTATTACCCGAGCTGAGGGCTCCCGGATATCCTGAGATTTGTAACCACGGGGGTGGACAACCGACACGAAGAATCTTAAGGGGAGCAGGAACACCACGTAGCCGCCACGTTTCCGGAGAACGGTGAAATAAACTTTGCCTTTCGATATTAGTACTATTTGCCATTGCATAGGCACTCCTAATGTTAATCTTAAGCGAAGGGTTACGCTCGCATCTGGGGCACTTTACCGATCGGAGGTACAAAGTAAGGGGATAGGAATAATTGGTACATTTACGGGTCATACTGCTGTGGATCCCGTTGAATTTGTAAGCGCATGAGTACTCATACCGCCTTGTTAACTAAGCAACCCCGTACCACGTCATTAAAGTGTTTAGCTTATAATTAATGCCTAGAACTATCCATTTATGCAACACCGTTTAATCCAGGCTGCTTGGCCACTGCCGACCTAACTATAAAAAGGGAAAAGCAAGGGTGGGAAGACCATTTTGTTTGCGGATAGACTACTATTTGGGAAGGGTGGGTTAATTAACCCACGGGCTTCGCATCGGTTGCCGCTCACTAATTTTTGCATGTGATATTACCTGTGGGTTAGTCATTAGTTGTTATATATATATATCTACTTTAGTAGTCGATTTTATACATATTTATTGTTACTTGTTATACTGTGTGTTGGGGTACCTTAAATTGATTCTGTGATTATTTGCATGTGTAATTGCAATACTGTTGGTTACAAATTATACTATCACCGTTGAAGTTACCTCCAGTGTTTTGGATTATTGCTCGTTCCTACAGGGTATTTATTGCCCTGCAGTGGTATCAACCTTCCTTGTTCAGGTTGAACCGAAGACCTTCTCTAGTAGTGAACAAGGTGGCGCCCATTTATTGTTTGAGGGGGTAAGTCAAATCGTTAGTCTAACGCCCTACCCTGAGTATTATAGTTTCGTGTGGTTTAATTTAATTGAGCCGCTAGCTGAGGCATCCCCTTTATTTAACGTGGGGTTTGTAAATCAGCGCCACTCAAACTTAGCGTTACATAGAATTACTGACAGATATTGACATGCTTCATTTTTTTAAACGTGGTATTCGAGGCGGCGTCAGTACGTGCACCAAACGCAAAGCAATCGCTAACAATAAATTTCTTCCCAATTACGATCCTTCCAAACCAAGCTCTTTTATTATTTATCTGGATGCATGCAATCTTTATGGCCATTCCCAAACACAATTTCTCCCACAAAGTGACTTTGCTTGGCTCACACCCGAAGAAATTCAAAATTTTAATGTTTTCGAAATATCAGATGAGTCACCGATCGGGTATGTCTTAGAAGTTGATCTACTGTACCCTGAGGCCCTCCACAATTTGCAAAATGACATGCCCTATTGCCCCGAATCTATAACCCCGCCAAATTCAAGGTCAAAGTATAAGAAACTAATTCCAAATTTAAATCATAAGGAAAAATACGTTTTACATTATAGAATGCTAAGACAATGCCTGCAACACGGATTAATTTTAAAAAATATTCATCGCGGGGTTAAATTTATGCAATCGCCTTGGTTAAAATCATATATTGATCTAAATACGCAACTGCGTAATCGTGAAACTAGCGAATCGGGCCGTGACACTATAAAAACTATGAATAACAGCATTTATGGTAAAACTATGGAAAACGTTGACAAACGAGTTAACGTTGCACTTGTAAGTCACTGGGAGAGGATCGGTAAGAAGCCTGGAGCTGAGGGGCACATATCTAAACCAAATTTTAAAAATTTATCGGTGTTCTCTGAAAATCTCGTGGCAATTGAAATGTCCAAAGTATCCGTAAAGTACAACAAACCGGTGTATGTTGGTTTTTCAATTTTAGATTTATCCAAAACAGTTATGTACGAGTTCTTTTACGATTTTCTAAAACCATTATATCAAGATAAAGTATCTTTGTTGTATACAGACACCAATTCCCTTATATTGGAGATTTTTACTAATAATTTCTATGATGACATGAAATTATATTTGGATAGATATGACACATCTAAATTTCCCCTTGATAATGTACACGGTATTCCACGCCACATTTCAGTTGTGAGGAAGATGAAAGATGAATATTGCGGTGTCCCCATCGCTAGTTTTTACGGTGCAGGTGCAAAGTCATACTGTGTCAATGTAGGTGATCGTGTAGATAAGAAAGCTAAAGGGGTAAAAAAGTATGTAATAAAGAACGGCTTAAAAGAGGAAGATTATAAGAAAGTAGTCGAAGAAGGTGGCGTGATTATGAAGCAGATGAGCGGTTTTCGATCTCACTTGCACACCATGTACACAGAAATGACAAACAAAATAGCCTTATCATCAACGGACGACAAAAGATTCATTATCCCTGGCACCTGCAGAACATTGGCATGGAGACATCGCGATATTAACGCAATTCAAAGTTTGGAAGATTTTCTTAATTCTTTGTAATCATCAATAACAAGCTAAGTTATTTAAAATGTTTATTTAAAATGTTTACAATACCATGTGCCATAATTACAATAAAAAAAATAAATCGCATTGTTTTATTAAATAAGATGAGCGCCCGGACTACAACCACAAACGCAGTAGGTCTTCTCTGTTTCATTAATCTTCAAGCAGGCCATACGATTTAATAATCTTGCATATCTGCAACGTGACGACCAACGAAGGTGCTCAGCTAAGGGTACATCGGAGGCCTCCCACTTATTAATGCGCACTTTACAATAAAAGCATTCCACCGTATCGCCGCTATGCGTGTAGAAAAATCCAGCATTAGCAAGTTCAACTGCCGATGGAACTCCTACCCATGAATGAAATGATAGGAGTCGATCTTCAAAGTTGGTATAATCAGCTGCGCCGTCTTCTAAACACATCTTACTTGAAGTACAGCTTTGAAATGCCAAAATTTATAGAATATCTTTATTTAATACCCAAGAATTGTGAGAACTGTCAAATCCTAACCACTTCACTAAGGATTTCTGGCCCTTTCTTCGAATTACTCGCTCAACCAAGTGGATGTCGGGGTACTGCGCTTTTTGTAATTCTTGTTCGTAAAATCTTCCTTTTATTTCTTGATTTGTACTATCTTTTAGTATATATGTCGTAGGATTTGAACGTTTCACTTTAGCAACTGTGAATGTCTCGTAAGTCCAATTTGGCGTGTAACCTTTTGCGAAAACGGTTCTGTATTTACTAATTCTCACAGAATCGTCCACTTTAAATTTAGGTGGTTTTGGGTTAATCACATTTATATGACTGTAAACTCTCTTCAAAATACTTGAGGCGTTCTTCTCGTTAACATCGATAGGTTTATATCCCGTAGTTCGATGTTTAGTTGAATTGTATTTGTCAACTATTTGAGGTAAAAGTGATAGCCATTTGTAGGAACCCTGTAAGCTGAATTTCTTGAACATAATTGACTTAAGCGTTCTGTTAACGCGCTCAACAATAGAGCTTTTTAGGGTAGAATAGCTACTATAATGATTAACATTGAATTTCTTCATTACATCTCCAAAATCCTTGTTATAAAATTCCTTTCCCATATCTGTTTGTAAATGTTTCGGGGTCGTTTTAAGTCCCGATAAAAGTTTATTCATAACATCTGCCCCCAGTTTTCCATTTTTTCGTTTTATAGGGTACGCCCAAACAAATTTAGAAAATGTGTTTATAACCACCAAAATGTAACGGAAACCTTTGTTCATTGGCGCATAAGGTATCATTTCCATCAAATCGGCTTGGAATAGGTCATTTAGTCCTTTAATAATTACGTGCCGCCTAGGAAAGTTCCTTCTTGCAGGTTTATGTAATTCTTCCACTAGCTGTACTTTACTCATTTCCTGAGACGTGATTGTAATAGTAGTTCCAAGCAAAATAACTGCCCTGCATTATACTTCGGACATTTGGCTTTGATTATGTCACCTTTACGTAGTGTTATCCCTATTAACTTCAACGGAGTATTGTACAAACGTTCGTTTATAATAATAGTAGTTCCATGGCGCGGTGACCAGGAACTCTTAATTACAACACATTCCGTTAGAGGAAATGCAAACGCTTGTGGTGTTCTACTCGAGGTGTGCCAACGTATGAACGGCGTATTCTCGGCGTGCGTTCACAACAGATACAAGTATGACTCATACGTATAAGAAGACACCTCTTCAGCTTTTGATTGATTTAGAATGTGTTTACCGAACTTGTCAATACTCATCTTTGCTTCAGACTGATCGATTAAAGATACAATCTCACTATTTATTTATTAAGAACACATTACCAACTAAATTACTTTATTATTTCAGCATTCCGCAATTCATCTATGATGTATATGATTTCATTGTGATTGTTCGTGTTCCCTGCGGATTGAGATCCCAATAAAACCCGCAGCCAGTTAACTAATTTGTTGGGGTTGCTCCAGGGCATAAATTCTATTCGCTTGTTGTTTAATTGTAACATTTGAATACCTTTCCCTTTCCTTGTGCTAACAGAGGAAGTTTGAATTCTGGGAACTGATACACGGGTACTAAAAAGTGGTTTAATGATGCTGCTGTACTTTTTTCCGGTGCCTTGAATTTGTTCATTTGGATTGTAATGACGTCGTATTGCATTAGTGCGGAGCAATATGTCACGATAGTTATTCTCATCTGCGGTTTTGTACCCAAGAGGTTGCCTCTTAAACAGTAGCTCGTATAGACCAGGAGTTCCGTTATATGCTACTGTGTCTCCTGTAGGAAGTTTGAGAACCAAATCTTGTTTGTCAAAGTCCAACTCGGAATCTCCAACGTAGAATTTATTGGCTTCCGGGATGTATCGTACACCATATCGATGATCAAATTCATTCTCTGTAGATCTGAACATCTGCTCCACATAAATCTTCGCCAATCCATCGTATTGATCTAAGAATTCCGTAAAAGATGGATGGTCGCCAGCCCGCGAGAGCTCAGCTCTTAATTCATCTAGAGTTGGCGTTTCATCATCGCGAGTGGTGTCGGCAATCACGCTCGTGTCTAAAAAGCTCGGTTGTTCCTCGTGTTCCGAAAAAAGGGTTTTAGGGATTCGTTGAGCAGTAGACGCTTTTAGAGGGGTCCGAAGTAGGGTCTCTGTAGATGAGGTCACGTCGGCACTATCATGTTTAATATTTTCACGTTTAAAATTCTGAGGTGTAGCTTTAGTAAGCAGTTGCTTCAGCGGTTGTGTAATGGGTTTAAGATGTTGCTCGGATTTACGTTCTGCCAGCGCAAAATCACGCTTTAAGGATATGTATTTATGTTTAACAGATTTTCTGGCATCAAGGAGGTCTTCTATTAAACGCTGTTTCATATTGACTGCATTTTTTCCATATGAAACATCGATATTTATATTAAAATGTAACAATCAAAACCTTTCCTATATCGACCCGAGTTCATGTCACTTTCTTTATCGATAACTAAGAATCCATATTTATCATTCCAGCACCTCACGCACATTTCCTTAAAGCGATCAAATGGCATATCGACATTCACGTGATCTTCGTGCACGTGTTTTAAATTAGTTTGATCCTGTTGAAACAACACAATTAGATTAGCATTGTCTCGAATTAACTGCTTGGGGATGGCCGAATACGTTTGACATAAATAAAAACAATCGTTATTTTTATGTCTACCAAAACAGAAATGTTCTCTAATCTCGTTTTGCTTATGGCAAGCAACGTCATCGAAAATCATTACCGAGTTGCTACGTGCGAGGTTAGGTGGGACGATGTCTGCACTGTCAGTATATTCAAAATACCCAATTTCCTTAATTGGGGACAACAACTGACGCAGATATTGGTATTTCGGTTGCGGCAGCGATTTACAATACACGTATACATTTTCAAAGCGTAAACCGTTGGATTGTTCTAATAATGCAATCATAACATTCGTTTTACCACAACCTGATCTACCTACAATGATGCCACGTTTGCAACCACCCTGTAACAGGCTACTGTGTTTTGAAACTCGTTTATCTCTCGAACACGCGTCGTAATTTTTTATAGGTAGTGCCGTTTCTTGCGGTTTGAAGCGTATGGAGGCCATTGCTCTACTGGAAGTGTATAAAACACTGAAACCTACTATATAAGTCCGTATATGCTTAGGAGCTCAGTAGTTGCCTGTCAACCAGCGAGCATGAACTTTCACTCTAACGTTAAGAAAAGAAGAATAACGTCTAAAACGGGGAAAGGTCTTATTAACAATTTAATAAATAACCTGCCAGTTGAATTGCATCTGCCCGGATACCAATTTTGCGGTCCTGGCACTCGTCTAAGCAAGCGATTGGCTCGCGGTGATCGAGGTATAAATCCGTTAGACGAAGCGTGCAGAGATCACGATATAGCATATTCAAGGTCTAGCAATATCAGTGACCGCCACGAGGCCGATAAAAATTTACAAAAAGCTGCGTGGGAGAGGTTTCGTTCGAGAAACGCCACTTTTGGCGAAAAAGCAGCCGCCCTTACCGTTGCAGGCATTATGAAAGGTAAAAGAACGTTGGGTATGGGTACGCGACGACGTACCATCAAAAAAAGAAGAAGAAACACAGCATCAATTTCGTTTAACAAAGGCGTTCAACTAGCTAGAAAGTATACTGGTGGTAACGTTCACTATGATCTGAATACAACTGTTCGACGAGCATTTAACGCGTTAAAGAAGAAAAAGATCAAACCGCCAAAACAGCGCATTTTACCCATACCTAAGACTGGCGGATTCATACCGTTAATTCCATTGTTTGCTGCACTGGGAGCGGCAGGTTCGTTAGGAGGAGGAGCGGCTGCTATTGCTAGAGCAGTAAATGGCGCGAGGAATGCCGCCAAACAATTGGAGGAGAGCAAACGTCATAATGAAGTGATGGAGGCCGCCGCGATAGGAAAAGGTTTATACTTAAAACCGTACAAGACAGGATTAGGCCTTTATTTAAACCCCTATCAAAAAAACTTCCAGTGAAGCTACCACGCCGTCCGTTAACAGACTTGGATTTGTCGAAATATGTCAACAAATTTAGGAATACAACATTTTAGAGGTATTTTTATGCGGAATACCTTACCGAAGAAAATAAATCAGAACGAATGCGGTATCGTAAACCTAGACGATGAAAATAACGACGGTACACATTGGACAGCGTATGTTAAGCTTGGCACACGTATTTCCTATTTTGATAGCATAGGACGGATAAAACCACCCCACGAGCTAGTGCGCTATTTTCGAAGCGATGGTAGCAGGAACATTATTAAATACAATTACGATCACATACAACTTCCTAATTCTTTTAATTGTGGACATTTAGTGCTACGATTTTTATACAATAACGCACACTGATTGCGTTAGTTACATTATTATTGTCAAACGACAATGTCTTATACATTGACATTTACTGGTACGACATCTATTTTAAGAGCCTTCTTTCAACCGCCGCTTTTACTCAATGATGACGATTATGTAATGGGGCTAACAAACTTTGAAACCTATAATAGTATACACAACGTTACACCGACCAATAATAAATTCAAATATGGTAATCAGATGATCACAATACCGCCAGGATGTTACGAGATATCCGACATAAATAACTACATAAATGCCCAATTAAACAGGACATCTGGAGATTATGTCGAACTTCAAGCTAACAATAACACTATGCAGTCGGTTATTAAAGCGAACCGGCCCATAGATTTTACTATAGAAAACTCGATAGGAGAACTGTTAGGGTTCGAGAAAAAAACTCTCAGTGCAGAAGAAACTCATACTTCCAGTAATACCATCAACATCTTAAAAGTTAATTCTTTGTTAGTGGAGTGCAGTATTACCACTGGAAACTTTAAAAATGGCGTACCAGCCCATACAATTCACCAGTTCTTTCCAAGTGTGCCAGCGGGGTACAAAATAATCGAACGACCTCTTACTGTAATTTATTTACCTATTAATGTTTCTTCGGTTACCAGTATAACCCTTAAAATACTTGATCAAGACGGCGACATTGTCAATTTTAACGGAGAAGTGATTACGATAGGGTTACACCTTAAAAAGGCGAATCATGGTTAAACGATATAATCAATGTGGGTGCAAGCACGATCACAATAAAAAGGCTCAAGTTGTTCGGTCGAAGATTAGTAAGGGTGCAACAGTCAAACCACTCACAGCTGTTAACAAAGCTTTTCTAAAATCTCTCGGCTTTACTACTTTACAATGAATATATTGGACGTAAATGAGAAAGTGCTTGTAGATAACAGCATAATAAATTATCAATATCATACTCATCAACCGTACACTACGAGATTTGGAAATAATGACGAAATTAGAATTCCAATACAAGAAGATATGTGCACTCTTCCTTCGGAAAGTCATCTCTACATTGAGGGAAAATTACTGCGAGAAGATGGGACGGCGTCACTTACCGCAAGATTTGTAAATAACGGTGTAGCATTCTTGTTTAGTGAAATTCGTTATGAAATAAACGGGATTGTAGTGGATTCCCTTACTAAAGCCGGATTATCATCGACAATGAAGGCTCTAGTTTCTTTAACCCCTAACGACAATACGCGATGTCAAATTTCCGGATGGTTTCCTACTGCTAATAGTACGGTTACTAGTCCAACGGGCCATTTTAACGTTTGTATTCCATTAAAGATGCTCTTGGGTTTTGCGGAAGACTACAGAAAAGTCATATTAAATATACGACAAGAACTTGTTCTAATCCGAGGTAATACAGATAATGACGCCGTAATATCTACAGCTGCCGATGAAGCTCTCAAAGTTGACATCGAGAAAATCTATTGGAAAGTACCTCACATTATTCCGGCGCTGGCCGAAGAATTAGCTTTGACCAAATACATTGACAAGAAATCGGAAACGCAGATAGCGTTTAGAAGTTGTGAAACGCACCTATACCCAGCTCTTCCACAAAAAATAAACATACGTGGGCGATAAAGACAGCAACTAGTTTAGAAACGCCCCGATATATTATCGTAGGTTTACAAACAGATCGGGATGGACAAGTTAGTAAAGATATGAGCAAATTTGATCACTGCGATATTAAAAATATTCGAGTCTTTCTCAATACGGAACGTTATCCTTACGATAATTTAAATATTAATTTCGGGAATAATCGATACGCAACTTTATACGACATGTACGCAAAGTTTCAATCTTCTTACTACGGCACAGAGAATCGACCATTACTTACACCGAAGCAATTTAAAGATTCGGCTCCTTTAATCGTAATTGATTGTTCAAACCAAAAGGAGGGTTTAAACTCGAAATCGGTGGTATTACGAATTGAATTTGAAACTAATGCGAACGTAGCGAATAATACTACAGCGTATTGCTTGATTTTACACGATCGGCTGTTTACGTACAACGCATTAACGAAAGCCGTAAGACAAATATAAAATCACCAACATAGGAAACGAATATACCACAACAAGAATGGTGGTCGTAGTTGATGTACAAAGTTTTAAAACTTCAAAAAAGTGTTTTTCGCCAAAAGAACTTGCAATTTATAATGGAAAACAGATGGCTCATTTTGTCTTCAAGCCTCCATTTCCTTGGAGCAGCTTAGATAACGAGTTTCAACGTCAAGCTAATTGGGTAACTCACAACCATCATGGAATTAAATGGGAAAGTGGCCATACACCGTCTCACCTATTTCCACTCATACTTCGTCATTTAATATCGCCGTCAGATCACGTATACGTCAAAGGAAAGGAAAAGGCGGATATTATCCGAAAAGCTCTATCGCGGGACGTTATCGAGGTGGAAGAAGAACCAGCTCTTCCTTCATTAGAACCAAATTGCTATTATCATATACGATCACCTTGTCATTGTGCTTTATCTAACGTCTATTACATTTATAACACCTATGTAATGCAGTAATTTTTTTAAATAAACAAAATATATTTTTTTTACTTTATTTATTGTACAGTTGGGACATTTTGATATGATTACATAATATGGGTTCTAACACAGATTCCGTGTTTTCAATTCTACATTTAAAACGATATCGATCTAAAGCAGCAGTTTGCCATTGGCCTTTCCTTGCTTCTGTGTAAGCAAAGGACCAAGCTCTTATTACATGAACTGTATTTTTTGTTTCGTCAAAGCTAACACGTTTCATTTTACAAAGTCTTTCAGACCCAATACACACATTTGCGTTTTAAAACATTTATAACAACCGTTTCCATTAATAAACTTATAACATACACGTTGAGCAGTTTTGTATACTTTAGCTAGTCTTAAACGATACACTTTTCTAAATATGAAATGTCTGTTATAGGCATCCCTTTCTAACTCTACAAAATTATCCAGCAAGCAACTAACATTCATCTTGCTCTTCGTTATCTTCTTCTTCTTCTCCTTCGTTTTCTGCTTCATTTTCCTCGTCACTGGAATCTGAATTATCCCAATGCTTCAAATCCTCTGCGGCACCTTCCAATCCAGCTTCACAAAGTTTACGTCTCAGACAAGTTAAACAGTATTTGCCGTTCAGGAATAAATTACACAATTTAATACCGCGACTATATTTTTTAACAAGATCATTACACTCTTCTTCAGTACAAAAACGACCTAGTCCGTACACCGCTTCGTGTTCTGCGTCCTCCACTAAAGCTGACAATTCTTGTACTAAACGTTCCACGGCCGTGTGTGCGTCAACTGCTTTCGTCCAATTTTCGGCAGCGTAACACATCCACATTTTGTCAATTACACAAAAAATACTAAACTAACATGCTACACGAATGAGTATTACTTAAATACTTTTGCCACCTCCACATCAAGTTCCACTTTGCCAGGTAACGAGACCAATACTAGCTGCATTATTACAGTTGATCGCCATTAAGGGTTCTAAAACACTCATGATGTTGTTTTTGAGATCGCCACCTATTTCTGCAACCAGTGGCGGATCTAGGACGAGGTCGTGGGGGGGGCTTGAAATTTTCCTTCACCATTGAATAAGTTTTAGTATTTATTGTACATTAGTAACGTTACATTATCTCGTATGAACTACAAAACAAAATGAGTAATATCAATCCCAACTGGACATTTCTAATCGTCGGGGTTTCATTTTACAAAAAGTACTGATGACTTCCTCAACATCTATTTGACGTGACGAATTAATATTCGCGAGGGCTAATCCATTCAACCTCCCTTCAGTCATGGTACTTCGCAGGTATGTTTTGAGTCTTCTTAAAACCGAAAAACTCCTTTCCGCGGTTGCTGTTGTTACAGGTAAAACTAGAAATATCTGAAGTAGTACTCTTATATTTGGGAAAAACATTTCTTCGCATTCTTTTAGAGCTTCGATGGCAGTTTTCGGCACCGTTTGTTGTCCTTGCCATTTCTGCCTCCACATTTTCAATTCAGAGGTCAGTTCTAACATTGATCCTGGCATATCTTGATCGTAGAACTCAGCGGCTTTTAATATTGCCATATCGTCATATTTACTGAGATATTCGGGAATCAGGCCTTCAAGAGAAATCACGCTGCAGATTCCATCAAATCGGTCTCGAAGTTGGGTGATCACATGGTCTACAAACGGTACAAAAATAGCAGCTCTGTAATAATCCTCTGCATTCGCACCAATATTGCTCCTATGAGTCTGCCGATTGCATGTCCTTGGCATAGAAATGGTCGCGCCTACTTCACTGGCTAACTTGTTTGCCTGTAAATACAGTGATTTGAATTCCTCATCACTTCGTTCCCTAATACCTCGAAGTACTGATTTAACATCATCAACGTGAGACAGAGCAGTTGAAAGATCTTGATCAACACTCTGTAGGTTCTTACTCAGGTTCAGTGTAAAAGACAGGCAGTAGGCGGCAACTCCCATTGAGACTATGAAATCACTTCGTTTTAATGAAGAGCTAAACATTGCTGCTTTGCTTGAAGTATTCGGGTCATGATCATTTTCCAACTGCTCTAGGGTATCTACAATGGGTTGAAAGAGTTGCTGAAATGTGAGAACACTCTCGTGTCTTTCTACCCATCGAGTACTACAAAGTGCTTTCAACTTGCGTTTTCGTGTGTCCTTTAGATCAGATTCCTGGATGGTTTTTTCCAACAAAGCAGTGCGCTTAGCAGACGCTGACAGAAAAGTTGATACGGAGCCCAGTATTCCCATCATGTTCCTGATGGCAGGGATTTCGCAGCTCTTCGATATACACAGATTCAGCGAATGACTGAAACAGTGTGTATATAAAGCTAACGGCTGCTCTGATTTGATGAGAGCTTGAACACCATTAAACTTTCCCGACATGTTACTACCACCATCATAACCTTGGCCGCGAAGATTTTCGATAGACAGTCCCAATTTCGTTATTTCGGCACATATAACCTCTTTAAGATCACGTCCAGTTGTCGACTTCACTTCCACAAAACCCAAAAACTCTTCCTTCAACACGTAATTTCCAGTATCAACGTATCTTACGCATAAGGTCATTTGCTCTTTGGTGCTTATGTCAGTCGTTTCATCGCAAAGAATGGAATAAAACTTAGATTTTTTCACATCGGCCACAATGCTTTTCTTCACAACATCACCAAGCGCCTCAATAATTTCATTCTGGATAGTTTTGCTGATCATCGTGCAATTTTTTTTTGATGTTTCTAAATGAAACCTGAGATCTTCATCTCCCGCATCGATACGAAACGACAGCAGATTTTTGAAAACTCCTTGACTGGTACCAACTATCTTGGTTGAATCAGTTGAGCACCGTAATTCACCGTCATCTCTGTGACCCCTCAATGGCAGATTATTGTGCGCACAAAATATAACAGTCTTGACAATGGGTTTAAGACGCCTTCTGTTGGCTTCTATAATCGCTGCTTTTTGTTTATCAAGCTGGGCTGCAATGCTTAAAGAGCCTTCATAACTCACTATTTTATTGAAATTAGAAGCTTTTTCTACCGAGAATGCGTGGTAGCTCGTGTCCTTATGATGGTTAAATACTTCAAGAGCTTTTTTGTATTTTGAAAGAGGCTCCTTCACCAAAGTTTTCAAAGCCTACAAAAATTTTGAGGAAGTGATTTATATGCTCATAGTTGATTAAGTTTTTTCAGTTACCTGATGATTACCAACTCCTGCCACAGAAGGTGCAAATAAAACGCACATTTTGCAAAACGCTCCTTTTTCTTGTTCGCTGTAGGCTAACCATTTGAACTGGCTTAGCCACTCAATCTTGAATTTTCGTTTTTGCTTGCCTTCAAAGTGAGACGGAAACACGTACGAACTATCAGGATTCCATGTTTCGCTTAAAAATTTCAGTTTTTCCCCGTCACTCAAGATTTTCCCAACTGCAAATCCTATGTCAAATAGTCGAAGGCTACCAGTGATGCTGCGATCAAATTCCCTTTCCTGGAATTCCGAAAGTAAAATTACCCGATTGAAAAACCTTTCGCAACAGGACTTTAAATTGCATTTCAGCAATTACACCTTACTCATGCACAGGTCAAAACGATTTACATCTGTTTTGGAAGCAAAATAACTTGAGTTCCCAACTATTACGTTACCCGAATCCACTAATAATTAAAGAAAAATTGTATCCTAGGTGCCTACCTGTGCAATCAATGGTTGATTAGACGGGGCTGGTTGACAAGAAAATGTGGACACTTTGCATTTTTTTGCGTCAGCTTGAGGTTCGGCGACGGCGACAGGTGTAGATTTAAAAAAATCTAAAATAGTTCGCTTCATTTTTTAACGCAACATAAACACAACACAACACAACACTCGCAATGCAAAATTCCAACTGGTTCTGGTGTAAGTGTAAATCGCAGTCAGCATTGAAACTGTTCCCAGTTTTCGGCTTTCTGGGCATTTGTTTATCAACCACTCTCCCCATCCTTCTTTAAAGCTCGTATTTTGCTTTCCGTCACGTATCAGTGTGCCGTGTCGCAAATCCACTAGCTTAGCTATTCAAATTCCAGGAATGCATAAAGATAAAAGAATAAAGCAATAATTACTGCCGACGCGTAGGCGCTGGCGGGTCCGACAAAATTGCAATATCGCCAAGCGAAAGATCTGAACGAAGCGAAGACGATGCCGGCTGTATTGGTAACAGAAAAACTTCTTCGGGGGGGGCTTCAGCCCCTCTAGCCCCCCCCATAAATCCGCCCCTGTCTGCAACTCCGGTGATTAAGTTCCCATAGAAATGTCCAAATTCTTCAGACGACAAACACTTTAGCCGATACTTTATAACATCCAACTTATTCCACAATTCCACTACGCTTTCCCATCCTAAATACACCTCCGATGGTCCCTCATCGCGAATTTTGATAACCTTCCTTTCGTGAATTGTTATGAACTCAATCACCTTTGAATTTACCTTGATTGGCTGCCAAATGGGATCCGTTGAGTAAAAATAATGGGTAAGTACCCCCTGTTGATCCACAAATGCTGCCCATTCATTTTCATTAAACAAAATAGATTGATTTTTAACGCCACTAATTTTCACAATGGGCGAAAACAAGTGATTTGCAGATAGGGCAATCCATACATGCTTCGTTTGCGATTTATTTAAAGGATACACATGTTGAGCCACTAATTGCACGATTTGCTCTTCATTCTTCTTCTTATTTTCTGACACTTTCTTTTCTGCACTTTCCGCTTTCTCTTTAGCGCCTTGAATTAGTTTAGCAAGCTGATTCATTTTGCATTACTACTACTATTACACGTATTTTCAAACAAATATATACTTTAGGAGCGCTTGAAATCCCACCCGAGCTAAACGGCTCATTTGAGACCCCATCCGTTAAGGAAGGATCATTTGAGACCCCAATGGGTTGTAACTAGGTCATCCAGGATTCTCTGAGACCCCACTCGCATTTTAAAAGTAGGTCAGAGGATTCATTGAATCCCCATAGGATTCTGATCAGGATCTGCGCATCCCCATCCATATAGAGCCCATATGCGCGGAACCCAAGGTCAAAGAGGATCTGCGCACCCCCATTCTTTCCCTACTAGCGAAGTTCGAATTTTCGTCTACAAAACGTATTCCAACAGACAGTTGCTCTTTTCCACTGATGTCTGCAGTTTCATCGGCTAGCAATGAGAATGCTAAAGATTTGTTAGCCTCACCAACAATTTGTTCTTGAATCACAGAGCCGCAAATATTTATTAGATCATTTTGTACCCGGTGTGATGTGTTCCTTTGCCACTGTGGTGATTTAAATGTTCCTCCAACACCTTGTCGCCAGAATTTACTCGAAACAGAAGTAAATCCTTAAAATTCCCTTCATCAGAGAGTTTGCCTCTAATGGGTATGTCATGAGTTCCACAGAATACCAATGTTGACAGAATAGATTTAAGTTTAGCGCGGTTGGCATTTACGATTTCTGAAACCCCACTGTCTATCTGCTCAACCACACTTTTTCTTTTCAGTTCTATGGATTCACAAAAGCTTTTGGCTTTTCCTGTGGCCTCGATATGCCAACGGCTTTTTTCATGCCCTCGAGCATCTTCATGAAAATGTTTGTAGTCATGGTGAGCCCTTGTTACAAAGTTACCAAAAGTCCCTCTTTTCAAAACTGGCTTGAAAAGAGTGCAAAACTTGCAAAGACCTCCCTTGAGCTTAGGTGAATATAATAACCAGGAGTACTTTTCAAACCAACTTTTCTGGAAAGGCCGTTTTAGTTTTCTTCCATCATCAACGTCTTTTTTAAAATCATGAGATGAGTTTTGAGCACGTGGGTTTGTAATGAGCTGGTACTTTACATCTTCTGGAACTGAAGAGTCCATGAACTCACCTACATCAAAGCTGTGATTTACAACCAATGGCTGCCGCCCATTCAAATCAAATTGGTCAGCAGCTGAACGTGAAATCACTGGGTCGATGTCATTTTCATCTAATTCGGTGACATTGTGAGCAAGATTTAATAACGGAATTTCAACACCAGCTAAGGAAGGTGATGGTAATGACGATCTTGAATCATGTACAGCTCGGAGATCAATTGAGATGTCAATAGCCGGTGTAGATGGTGATTCGGACGATCTTGAACTATGAAGAGCTTGGAGATCCTGATCACCTAGACCTGATGAGTCAACCGCTGGTGTAGATGGGGATTCGGACGGTGTTAAACGCTGAACTTTGGCCGGTGTCGGATCTTGAGAATTTGGTGACTCCTGGCGGCCTCTACTTCTCCGACCAAAGAAATTTCTTATATCCATATCTGAAATTAATACGAGTAAATCAGAACCACGAGTCCAGTCCAGAGTCTTGCCACACCCTTGATCCTAATTATAATTTAAATACAAATTGAAAAAATTATGAAAACAAGGCTGACAAGGCATAAATGTTTAAGTAATAAAGAGCAAGAAGGAAAGCGACACCAAGAATCATAAAAATAAAACATGGTGTACCATTTAACAATCTCGGCAAACCGCGGCAATTTTTTATTTTGTAAGTACAACGAAATCGTCAAAATCAATGCCTATTTTTATTTATAATATAAATAACTCAATACTCACCTAATAAAAACCAGTATTCATAACGTAAATAAGTTCGTGTTCGGTATCTTCTTTCTCAAAACAAAGCAACAAACGCCAAAACCAAACTACACCTCTGCACTGCACTAATGAGTGTCACAGTCACGTCACTCCGCTCGAGGAGGAGGGAGAAAAAAACAACGAAGATGATTTATGAAGGGTGGGGGGACACGCATGGGAACAACCTGCTTCTCCCTTCTAGCGTTTGTTATTGTACCTTCTCCCATTTATCATGGTATTTAATTTGCCCTGACTTTCGGCAGGAGGCCCCTAGAGAGGTTGGATCGTGGCGTCTAGCGTCCGCTCATCGCACACATGACACAGGACAGAGACACACGCACACTCACCCGCCTGCCGCCTCGCATTCCAGATGGAGTATACCAACTGTATAACAACATTTTTTCTTTATTGAGAAGCAGCATAATTTTTATTCTGGAAGCCAGGGGGGGCCGTGGCCCCCCCCTGCCCCCGAGTATGGGCGCCCTTGATTGGCGGGGCTAATTCGACCGACTCTGTACTTTTCAAATTAACAAAAACTTTAATATCAGAATTAATAAATACACACCTGTACAGTTAATAAGATCAATTTCCGGAAGTACAGCAGCCCATTCTAACCGATCTCTGTATTTTAAACGTATATGGTACAAAATAGTAGCTACAGTGTCCTATAAAGAATGGAGATTATAAGTTACATTTAAAGTAAGAACTGTAAGGCAAACTAAAAATAACGTAAATTATTTACTCAGTCAAAATTAAGTAAGTAGGCACTAATTACAATTGACCAGGCCAATACAAATCTTTGCATTTGTCTTCCGTGCTTAGTCCGTTCCTTAAATTCCTTTTTAAAAACCATATTTATTCATTAATAATTACTTTAGGAAAATAACGCTTCGTTACTGATGTAAAATGCGCATAAGTACATAAAACACCTACGATTGTACATACAGACGTACTTACCATATTTTTAATCGAACGAATACACAAAATCACTATTCAATAATTCACACGCCTCAAACGATAGCCGATGCCCGGACCCGACGTGCTTCTGCTTCTAATTAATTTATCACACGCTCATATAAAGTAAAATGAAGCATTACAATATCTGCAAAATTTGCAGTTCAAGGTTTTTATGAACAAAGCACACATTTACTAAAAGGATCGTTATTACAACTACAGCAGAATGTTAAATTAGCAAGTTTTCATCCTTTCTACATTCTCATTTTGTTAAATTAGCAAGAAGATTTTGTTATTTTTCACTATTTGTTAAAGTAATTCTCAATGAATTTTTGTGCACGTCTGACCAATACTGAAAGTTGATTGAATGTCAACATTTAGTAAATGGTGACACTAAATAAGTTTTGTATAGTTACAATAAAATAAAAGTGCAATTTACAATGTCAGGTTGTAAAATGGACATTAAGTTTAATTTCTTTGATAACTTTAATCACGATGTCAATTTAACCAAATTATACAGTTCATGTTGACTAAAATTTCATGTGAAGTAAGATTTTGTAAAAAGTTACAATGTATTTTTAGCGCATTTCCACAAAAATAAAAAAAAATGCGCTATTGTGGCCACTTTGTCCGTCCGTCCGTCCGTCCGCTAACTTTGCGACGCTACTAGTTCTTTATCTTAAGAGCTATTGTTCTACTTTTTTCGCTATTTGGTTCGTTATGGTGTCGAGTCTTGTACCAAGGAAGGAATTTTTTCTGTACCGCTTACAAAAAAAGTTATTGTAAAAAAAAACAAAAAACCGTTTTTTACATGTTCCATAATTTTACACTTTTGCCGTTTATTAACGATCCTTTTACATCTCCGTTAGTTATGAACTGAATTGCATGAAATTCAATATGGGAATAGCTTTAGCCATATAATACACAATGCCAAAAGTTGAATCGAATCGATTCAAAATTCACAGTGCCCTTTTCGCATCTCGACCATTTATAAACCGAATTGCAAACTTTTTTACTTATAAAAGTAATTGAATGAAATTTGATACATAGGCACTTGGAATAAAGGAAAATCAAACGCCAATTTCAAAATTTGGTTTTGCGCATGCGCAGTGCCAACTTTTTTTATTTATGGAAGAATTTAAACGAAATTTGATACATAGGCACTTGGAATAAAGGAAAATCAAACGCCAATTTCAAAATTTGGTTTTGCGCATGCGCAGTGCCAACTTTTTTATTTTTGGAAGAATTTAAACGAAATTTGATACATAAGCACTTCGAATAAAGGAAAATCAAACGCCAATTTCAAAATTTGGTTTTCCGCATGCGCAGTGCCAACTTTTTTATTTATGGAAGAATTTAAACGAAATTTGATACATAGGCACTTGGGATAAAGGAAAATCAAACGCCAGTTTCAAAATTTGGCTTTGCGCATGCGCAGTGCCAACTTTTTTATTTGTGGAAGAATTTAAATGAAATGTGATACATAGAGGCACTTGGAATAAAGGAAAATCTAGCGCCAGTTTCAAAATTTTATTTTGCGCATGCGCAGTGCCAACTTTTTTATCTATGGAACTATTTAAGTGAAATTTGATACTTAGGCGCTTGGAACAAAGGAAAATCTAACATTAGTTTTAAAATTTAGGTTTGCGCATGCGCAATT